TTTGTCTAGTGTTTGTGCATTCCTATGTTTTGTAGACAAACAACGTTGTTGGAGGATGGATGGAATTGCGCTTCAACGATCATATCCAAAGGAGGTTGGCGGAATGTCGGTGAAGCCTTGCTATTCAAAGTTCAAGATCCAAGTTCAAGCTTCATCCGCGAGATTACCTAGAAGAGCTTATTGAAGATCAAGATTGCTTGGGTAATCTAGTTTAGATTTTATATTATGTGTGTTATATACTCTAAGCTCAATATTATATTTACACACACATTTATTGGTTTCTTCGTATATATATATATATAGTCATATATATATATATATATAAGTTTTAGTTTCTATGCATATATATAGTTATATATATACATACATATGTTTTGAGTTTTTATGGTTATATATATATGAAATTCTATATTTCATAAGGTTATAGACTTCATAACAACATGTTATATCTTTTATCAAGTCTATACAATCATTTCACAAAGTTTCAAAAGTTGGTTTAAGTCAAAATATCAAAATATCAATTTTCAGGTTTTCATGTTTTGGACTATTTTGTAAAATGATGATATTTTTCATTTGGGAAGTCCTTTTTCGAAACCAGTCGTTGTAGCATGTTTATTATCATGTCTACAATCATTCTCCAAAGTTTTACATTTTTCTGAATTTATTTGATATTTTTAAACAGCGTTTTAAAACCAGATATACAGTTTTTTGAGTATCAGTATTCGGTCGACCGCACCGGTCGACCGAACCTGAGGTCAAAAGTTCACTGGGCTGACAGATAGCTGTCGGTCGACCGGTCCGGTCGACCGATGAAAATTTTCGGTCGACCGACGAATTTTCCGGTCGACCGACGATGTTGTTTTCAGCTTCCAACGGCTAGTTTTTTGACCGTTGCCTTGGGTCTGTTTTGTCTTTTGCTCTGGTTTCTTGGCTGAGTTGTGAGAGGGTATAAATACCCCATTGTCTTCAACTCTCAAACCTATCAAGAGAATGTTTTAAGAAGTTTTAAACAAGG